CGTTATTCAGACGAGGTGGATGTGCGCCCAGTTACTGACTGACCAGGGGTATGAAAACGGAATAACCAGTAATATGCGCGGTTTCAGCCACCACTGCAGGGACGGAATCCGACTCGTTTACTTACACTTTTAGACGGGAAGCATATCGAGTGCCGAGTGGGGGGCACGGGTCCGGCCTTAATACTTTTCACGTTATCACATGAGTGCGGGCAGCTCGTCTCGACCCTCCAATTCACCAGGCGAAAGTCGTAGCTCGATGGCACAGGTACATATAGGCCATGTATTTTCCGGAAATGTCGCAACTCCAACGGATGTTGTTGTGCTCAGGTACGAATACTTAACGGCAAGCTAAAGATGTTTGTATCTGCTGCTGTGATTTTTGGGGCCTTCCTCGCATTTCCGCTTGAGGCTTTCCCATTAGCTAACAGGAAGGTTAGCAATCAGTCCAATTCTCTAGGTCCCCTCACCTTCCGGGCAGACGGGACCTTTCAGATTTCCATTTTCGAAGACCTACATTTTGGTGAAAGTATGTTCGCTATAAGATGTTCCTTTGCTTGCATCACCTACCCACTAACACGGCTAAGATGCTTGGGACCAATGGGGCCCGCAGCAGGATATTAATTCGGTCAGAGTGATCAATGAAATCCTCGATAAAGAGTCGCCTAGACTGGTCGTATTGAACGGCGATCTCATCACGGGCGAAAATGGATTCTTGGAAAACAGCACCGTATACGTTGATCAAATCGTCAATCCTCTTGTTACTCGGGACTTGACCGTGAGCGAATCTTGGAGAGCCCTTTCCTTTTATTTTAGCGACTTCTTCAGAATAAAAGTTTCTTTTCGAGTGAAATCAGTGCTCCAGGAGAATCCTAAGCTTTTAAACCCCTCAAAGATCGCACTGAATATGGCGATAACTGACTCCAAGTGGTGAAATAGTGGGCATCCACATACGGAAATCATGATTACGATTTCAACATATCCGGAGACGCTATCCTCGAACGTGAAAGAAGGTGGAGAAATAGTCGAACATCGCCCATGGTGTCTGGACCGGACGCCGGCGTATCGAATTACTATCTCCCAGTCTATGACCATGGCTGTGTAAGCGAATACATCTGCCGCCCACAGTTGATCCTTTGGTTCTTCGATAGTAGAGGTGGGTTCAAGTACCAGCAAAAGGACGCCTCAGGCAATAGGGTAGGGCAACCGAATTGGGTTGACGCCAGCGTCGTGGACTGGTTCAACCAGACGAGCAGTAGTCTCACGAGAAGATACGGCAAAGTAATCCCTTCACTAGGCTTCGTCCATATCCCCCCATTCGCTTTTTACGCTGCGCAAGGCGTCGGTGTAGATCCAAATAGACAGCCGGGAATTGACGATGACTTACCACTCGCACCTCAAGCTCAAGGGTGGTGTCGGGACGGCCGCAACGACGGGACGTGTACCTATGGTGCGCAGGATACAGAATTCATGCGAGCTATATCACACACGGAAGGCCTAATAGCGTTATTTTCCGGACATGACCACGGCGACACCTGGTGTTATAAGTGGGATAAATTGCTGCCCGGTATGGATGTGACACCAGCCAACAACATAAGTCTCTGCTTTGGGCAGCACACAGGCTATGGTGGATACGGTAACTGGGAAAGGGGGGCTCGTCAGGTCAAGGTCTCGAAAAAGGGCCTCGTGAAATTCGAGGCCGGTACTTGGATCCGCCTGGAATCGGGGTCTGTGGTGGGCAGGGTCTCACTGAATAGTACATATGGACAAGATCTCTATCCAAGGACGAACAACTCAATGAGCTACTGCCCGACTTGCGACTATTGAGGGCTAGCGCGAGAGATGGCCGTGTAAAGGCACAAGCCAGGGACGATGATGTTGGATAGCAGATGATGAAGAGCTACTTTCAGAAAATATTCCAATGGTCAAGAATATACGCTGCCGTTTTGCATACATGCATCACCCCAGGTTTGCTGCTATAGCTTCAATACCTAGGGATATAGCTACATCTTTTCGTCTTAGGAGCCAATCGGGTGGTGGTGCCCCTTCAGAGAACGAATTTGATCATGTTATGGTCGGGAACCGCCCTAACCTCGTCGCATTTGGCGATTGTACCATGTGTCATCCCGAAACTAATACTATACTATACACAGCGTATTTTCTCCTCCACAGGACTGGCATTGATTCGGGACTTGCAGGGACGCTTCTTTATCATTTTATCACATACCATACTTCAGCTCTCACATAGCACCTAGATACCTAGATAGGTACGTACCGGTACCGCTTTATCGCTGCACGGTACTATGAATCTATTGAAACTAATGTGTGTGATTGAACATTGAATGCATGTCGCTACCATAGTCACCATGCAGAGAGAGCATGGGTAGTACCTGCTGAAGATACCTAAGTTAGGGTATCTTGGCAACCGTTTCCCCACGCACCCTCTTATCTAATGAAACCACTACTACACCTATACTAACTACAACGTCTTCGCGAAGCCTACTTACCTAGGTACAGTTCTCCGCATACTATTAGTTTTACAGTCGCTATGGATGAGCTGGCAAGGCTGACATACCTAGGCATGCTTTTCTCAAAGGCTTTAGGTATACTATCCGGAGTCTACCTAGACACACTAGGTTAGTCGAGAGAGAGGGGGAGAGGATAACCCCGCTCACTTCCTGGTGGTATACAGGTGTAGGTACCCAGAGGTAGTGCAGAAGGTGGTGCACTAGGTGGTGCACTACCTAGGTAGGTAGTGTACCTAAAAGGTGCCTACTGTACGCACTATAAGCTAGAAGGGCTTAGGTAGTAGTAACCATCCACGTCACTCACGTCGCTCCTGTCACTCCTCACGTAAATCGACCGCACATCCTGACCTTGAACCCCGTAGAGATTGTCCACACCGTAGCAACTCGGTTATACTACCTAATCTACGTAAGTTCCTCGGTCGCTGCTCGGTCACTGCTCAGTTGCATGACAGCTACCGGCGCAGTACAGGGCTTGCAGGGTTCCTTGCAAAGTTCGGTGTAGAATAGTCATAGTAGAAGCGTTGCCAAGACATGACATGACATTCGATCGGGTTGACGATCGTCTAAACCTTACGAGGATGATCTATAGAAGTCTGTGACAGTAGGACGGGATTCATGCCCAACCGCCATTTCCATTCATTCACTGAGAGCTAGGAATCCATACCATAACGACATAAAATTAGATTCCAGGTTTTTTTCTCTAACGGTTCCCTTCCACTAATTTTCAATTTCTAGATCCCTCCCCACGCGATAGCTTCGCAGAGACTGTGCCACTGTATTCACCGTAACCGAACTTGGCGTACCTTTACACTTAATATGACCGACATCACAAACTTGTCCGGGCTATACAGCATTACATACCAATTCCTTCGTCCCTCGAAACCTCGCTTCGTCGAAAACGATGTTCCTGATCTAAAGGGAAAAGTAAATACTCCTCAACTTTGTGATCCAATAGCTCCCATCCTGTCCTCCCAAACACATGTCTTGCCAGTTTCGAGGGGTTGCTAACATGCCTCCCAGGTTACGATCGTCACTGGGTCGAATACTGGTCTCGGCAAAGAGATTGCCCAGGTCCTTTATTCCAAGAATGCAAAAGTGTATATGCTGACGCGCTCTGAGGAGAAGACCCAGAAGGCCATTGAGAGTATCAAAGCCGCTGTGCCTGACTCGAGTGGCGAGCTCACGTATTTACACCTTGACCTCGCCGACCTGCCTAGCATAAAAGCGACGGTGGAAGAGTTTCGCCGCCGGGAGTCACAGCTACATCTCCTCTTCAATAATGCCGGCGTCGCGTTCCCCCAGAGCGGCGCCAAGACAAAACAAGGATATGCGCTTGAGATCGGGGTGAATTGCCTGGGACCCTTCGCTCTCACCAAGCTCCTGGCGCCAACCATTGTCTCGACTGCCAAGGCCGCGCCCCCAAATAGTGTCCGCATAATATGGGTGTCATCAAATGCATCCGAGGGATTCAGCCCAAAGAACTACGTACACAATGTCGAGCACGCTGAGAATCTAACGGCAGTGGGGAAATACTTCTCGTCGAAGCTCGGCAATTTTCTGCACGGAGCCGAATTTGCGAACCGATATAAGGCTGACGGCGTGGTATCCGTGTCATTGAACCCCGGTGCGCTCGATTCAGACCTATGGCGCGAGCAGTTTTCCCTAGTCCAGTCGTTTCTACGAGCGACGCTCCTGCACCCTCCTATATACGGCGCATACACATGCCTGTTCGCAGCATTCTCTCCCGAGATCACACTAGAAAAGTCAGGGACTTATGGTTAGTGCTCTATAACAGCAAAGAGGGAATGGAATACTAACCACGAAATAGTCGCCCCCTGGGGTCAATTATGGAAGGTGGCACCAGCGATGGTGAAGGCTGGAAAGAGCCTAGAAGAAGGCGGTGACGGCACAGCCAACGAATTTTGGGAATGGAGTGACACCCAAGTTAAGAAGTACCTTTAGATAGTCGAGCGGTAGAGAGGGCGCCATTCAAAGTGTATTTTTCTCATTCTAGCCATATTTCTATGGTAAGATGGTAGATGGATATCTGGGGTTCTGTCGTGCCCTTCCTTATTTCACCTTTCCCCCCTTTATTACCTGGGTGTCTGACGCCCTTGACTGTATGCGAGGAGAGGGTCGTAAAGGCAGAGCGCGCTTTCTAATAAGAGGGTGAAAACGAGAATATACATATATATTAAATACAGTCCTAGTGCTCTTCATCATTTATAAAATCATTGTGAATTGGAAAGCATAATAGAGACTGTAATGTCGTGCTTGGCAGAGACAATATGTTGCCTGCAACAACAGCGCTTGAGGGGCCTGTCAGTGGAGCTTGTCTACGCCGCTCTAACGAAACAATTAGCTAATTGCCATCAATCTAGAATGGAATTAGCGTAAACAGAATAAAATAAAAAAAAAAGATTCAAGACCGTCAGGTTCGTTTACAACGAGACAAAAGAAATAACCATGATTGTTTGCCTCCACGCGGAATCGAACCGCGGATCTTGTCATAACATCGCAAGCAAGTACTGTACGAGTGACACGCATTACCCCTGTGCCATAGAGGCTCAATTGGTTATGATATGATCTGTCTTATTTCCATCCATATCTCTATTAACACCGATGGTAGACATACACCCTTTTTCTATATTGCCATTTGAGCCTTCTCTCTATGCCATTAACCAGTCGTCGTTACAAGCAGCGTCCTTTCGCTTTCCAAGAAGCTATAAGTTCCTCCGTAGCTTGTTTGGCCCTACCTGAGTAACCACCTTGGAGACACAACCTCAGAGGGGTCTTAGTGCCGCGTGGAGGATAATCAGTTTTGCCGGCTCTTGTTATAGGGAAGTGGTCGCTATCGGATGGTATAGCAAATTTCGGCTGGTGCTTATCTACATCCTCTAATACGTAGATGGAATAACAGCAAGCCTCCCCCCATCGAAGTTCAGGATCGTACCATTACAGTACGCGCCGGCCTTGCTCGCGAGATACAGAATCATTCCCGCAACCTCCTCTTCGGTGCCAAAACGCCTGGCAGGCATAAAGTTAGGGTCGTCTAGACCTTCAGTCTCTGGATCTCTAGAGGCTATAACGGGCCCGGCCATTTCGGAGTCGAACCCTGAGGGTTCCTACAAGTCAGCGACGCTTCTCATATTAAGTGACGTGAGAAGGGGCGTCGCAAGGAAAGTAGCAAAGGTCGGGGACAGTGTGTGGGTGGAGGAGGATACGAGGTCAGTACTTACACCCGGGTGACAGCGTATTCACCCGTATCTGATACGGTGCCAGGTTTGTCGCTGCATGCTGCGCAAGTTGGGCAATGGCCGACTTACTCGCCCCATAGGCGGGCGGCGTGGCTTTCTCGCGGCTATAAGCGCCGAGGCTTGCCGTGACGATGACCTGGCTCTGCACGAGCGGCACCTGGCTTCCTTCCTTCAGAGGCTTTCCGAACCCCCCCTTCAATGCGTTCTTATTGCCGGCGTCCAGAAGCTCCAAGAAGGCGAGGATCGTGTAGTACGCCCCCGTTACATTGACGTGCATCGTCTCCGTGAACTCTTCCATTCCCACTTCGTTGAAAAGCCTATTGCGCAGGTCTCGGATGCTCAGAGAGCTATCGTACGATTTATGTGGCCCGAGGACGCCTGAGTTGGCAACCACGAGGTTCACGTACCCAACTTCGCTAGTGATTTTGTCGACGGCGTTTTGGAGCGAGTCCTTGGAAGAGACATCGCATACTAGGGGGATGATGTTCGGGTGCGAAGACGCGGCTGCTTCGAGGGTGCTGGCCCGTCGCCCTAATATGTAAACTTTCCCACCTGCTCCTACGAGAGCTTTGGCCATCATGAGTCCGATTCCTACGTTCGCTGTGTTAATATTGGCGCTGACGCAATGGTGTCGGGAGACGCACCAGTGCCACCACCAGTTATGACGGCGATTAAGCCGTCCACCCTGAATAGAGTCGACACGTCCATTTTTAGGACTTGCTTTGGGGCCTTCGGATGCTTAGAGGGCACGGTTGAGGGGAATGGGGAGCAGTTTTCTAGCGACAGCTTTGTACCAAACTTATCTATTCCACAACTCAATATTCACACGCCGCGTATACAGCACCAACATAACGGTCCTAGTGTCCGAAGAAGTCATACCGCTGTCGCCTTCTGTCTTTATAGATACTCATCAATCATGAAGGAAGGAATCGGCGATATTACATACAACCATCATATCGCCGATAAAATTGCCGATACATCAATCCTATCTGTGGAACTTGTGATTCGTGCCGTGTGTGTGTTTCGGGCATGGGTATATTACGGCTATCGAGTATGGACTTAGGATCGCGACGCCCTTTATTAAATCCGTTTACGGTAGAAAATGAGAGCCCAAATATCAGAGAAACGGCCAAAGGATAGGGGATTTTCACATGGTGAATAGCACAGCCTTATATTCATACCAGACATATTTAACACATACATGTGCACGTCATTTATCTCCTCGCAGGTATTCATTCCATTGACATGTGCGGACTTAAAAACCTTATATCCGACGAGCTCAAGTTGACCCTTTCTTTTAGTGGAAAAACAAGCTTCAACGCCTTTCGGCCACCGATATGTCTAAGCATATCCTAGTGCAATAGCAGTGGAACGGGGATCGATGATAGTGGGATTCCGTGAAGCTAGTATAGATCAAAGTCGAGATTCTCTCTTGGATACCCCTCTTGGAGGATCTGACTTAACGTATCCATTGGCCTCGTAAATCCATATGTAACTTAACATTGTAGAATATTGAGCACGCCGGGTTGCTTATCCACCCGTTGCAGTGCTCGCATATGTTGTGCCACGTAAAAATGAGCCTGTTCCTGTTTGTCTAATCCAAGACATGATGGGGTTTGGCAATGCAAGTTATGCTACGTTAGTCTAGCAAGTAGCAGGGTTAGGAGTCAATCTACAACCTCCGTATAACTTGCTTTATGGTTCACCTCACCGTCCTAACTGTCCGTCCCTCCTCACCTCTCTCGACAGCCTCAATGCGACCGCGCACAACCTCCCAGACTTTATCCGCAAGTTCCTCCACACCGACATCGGCATCCACGATCTGGATATCCTCCTCTTCCTGTCTGAACTCGCCCTCAACTTCAGCATCCCTTCCCTCACGATCTCTGGCGTTGCTGCTATTCGTACCATTCCCAAAAGGTGTCCTCTCGCCTCTAGACGAGGGCCCCTTGCCGTTGCCAGCGGTGGCCTTGCTAGCACTAACAGCGGTGCCTAGATCCCCCATGCTCAACCCCCAGAAGAGTTCTCGGACGCGCCGCTGCATCTCACCCATCTCATAGACCTCCCCACCCCAGCCACCACGCGATCGGGCTACCGATTCTTCAAGGTCGAGAAACAGGACCATGTCTGGTCGTGGTAGGCCAAGTTCAGGTGCTTTAGCCCAGGATAAGGAGAGCGATGGCAGCTGCTTTGCAGCGCTGTAGACGATACCGCTGTGATAGAAGCGGTCACAGATTATAGTATGGCCTGCTTCCAATTCGGTTCTGATTTTTTGCCTATATAACTTAAGCGTAAGCTACATCGCAAAAACACTAGACATCGGGGGGACAGGCTACTTACGCGGCCTCCCAGCGGTTTGCACTGAAGAGTAGATGAATAACGTGATCCTCTATCTCGGCCTCCCCCTTTAGATATGAGTCTATCATCTGGCCAATAGGCGTCGTTCTGTCTATGAAAATTCAGCCGTCTATCTCTCTTCAAGTCATTTTCAAGGTCATTTTAAGGGGCGGCGGCATTGTATTTCAACTGACCGCGGACTACGATAACTTCAGTGCGCACTAAAATTATAAAACGCATAGACTTACCAGGGAATCTCATAAACTTGACCTGCCTTCCGCTTTCGATACACCTCAGCTGCAATAACTTGGCCTGTGTTGTCTTGCCGGCACGATCCATACCCTCGAAGATTATAAACGCGCCTCTCACAGGCGGTTTCCTTTGTTCGCCCTCGTACTCAACACCATCCATACCATCTTCTTTCTCAGACGTACCGTCTCCATTTTCCGGTGCCATTTCTAGGGACGCCTGTGGCGGAATAGTAGCCTGCGCCGGGTTCCGCGGTGAGATCTGCGGTGCTGCTAGAACGGGCCCTGGTGTGGGCGTGGGCGTGGGCGTGTTCGGGGTGGCAACGCTCACGCCTGCACTCACTGTGATACTGCTACTGTCTGGTGCCGGCGGCGCAGTTGTGGCTGCAGCTGCGCCGGGCGTGCTCGGGGCCGGATCTGGCTCGGATACTTCTGGTATTGGTGATTTATGCGCGGACTGGGTCCGCTGAGCATGAGCTTCCTGGGCCTGTTCCTGAAGCTGTGCTGAAGGCGAGGGTGAGGGCGGCGACAAGGGATCTTCCAATGGCGGAGAGGAGGGCGATGTTGGTCGCGCGTCCTGTTCCTTGGGCGAGGACTGCAGCGCGACGGCCGACGAGGCGATGGTCGCGGCGGTGGCAAGATCATTCATAGACGCCATTCTTACACGCGTCTCCGCCCTATCTTATATTGCAAGCGCCTAGCTGCCCTGATCGAACAGTCAAGTCTAACTGTCGCGTTGTCTTCCCACGTGATAGAGCGTTGGCAACCAATGACGATATCTACTCGAATATATATAATACGTATCTATATATATTCAGTACAAGGTAGCAGAGAGGGGCACTGTGAAGGGGTCAACCCCACGGATCAACGTGCCGCAACAAACTGAGCTTCAATTGAGCGGGTCAAGAGGATCGGATGACGGGATCTAGACTTAGTTACTAGTATATGATACTACTTATTGGATGATAGAACCGGGAAATAAAGGCCATTTGAGGCGCAGGCGGTATTCAGTAGTTTTACAAGGTCGGATTATGGTCTGACCACGGCGATTTTGTTGCAGCGCGACCCGGTGGTGGAGCTCTAAAAACGGGTTGCTGTAGGTTTAGAAGGTTAGGTACTTAAGTACAGGTAAGGTACCTAAGGTAGTGGGCTCTAAGCGGGCTCTAAGCGGGCCCTAAGCGGGCCCTAAGCGCCCTCTATTAAATGAATGGTCTAGACAGCCTTTATCATGATGCATCATGCATGCTTTGGATTCAACAAGCGCCCGATTCATGAATGCAAGTAGCTTTGAGAGTGGTATACTTCGCAAGTCCCATGGTTCCTATGAGTTTCATTGCAATCGGCTACCTTATTCACGAGAATGCGCCTGTCATTGAGCCCTAGGTGAGCGCATCTTGTGGATACACCAGCATACATGCCATCATTTTTCATCAAGGCCGACAACTATCTAGGTACTTGAGACCTCACTACATGAGGTGCCTACGGCAACTGGCGCCAATATATACCGAGTGTCAAGTGATATGTGAACAGAAGCAGAGCCGTCTTCCATTGCGGCGAAACAAGAAGCTCTACAAGTGTATATACAGAAAGCAAAACAGAAACAAGTACAGAATATCAAATCCGCTAATCAGTGCCAACCGGGCCCTTTCACTCCAGCTGTGCCAAGCTCCATAAACGCCAAAGCCCCCCTTCGCTCCCAAATATCAACATGTATTACGTTTCAAC